TATTGATGACCAGTTGTAGGCCCTTCCCCAGTGGCCTATTGGGAGGGTCCCAGCCTTCACCAACGTCTTACCCTTAGCTCAGGATTCTTCTAAGCTCAGACCCAGTGGCCGGCCGGCCGGCCGGCCTCTCCTAGCTCTGGACCATCCCTCGGGCTGTAGCTCCATCAGACAGCCACACTCCTCCAGGGAACTGCAGTGTCTCTGGAGCTGTAGCTCCTTTATATGGGGCCCTCCTGGGCCCTGATTGGCTGCGTCCCCTGCAGCCACTCTAGCCGGCTTGGAGGACCATTCCGTTGCTCCTGGGATGAGCGTGTCAGTCCACGCCATCACAGGTAGCTGAGCCTTTGACCTGCCCCCATGGGCGGCTCAAGCAATGCCCTCTCCGGTATCAGGCCTCCAGCCAGCCCCTCTCTAAGGGCAGGGACCCACATGCCTCTCCTTCTTGACCAGGGTTTGAGGATTGCAGCTTGTCCTCCACGGTGTTCGCTGGACTAACCTCCAGTTCCTGTGCTTTGCTTTCTCTCCAAGGGCTGTGAGCAGCGTGTGTGTGTGTGTGTGTGATAGAGATGGGAATTTGGTAATATTTCTGTGACTCCAGTACACACCTCAGTTTCCCTCTGTGATTGGTACTGCTATGAATATAAAGAGCAGGAGACATCAGATGTTTTTTCATGTAACCGTCATGGGGTGATATTAATGGGTCATTAGGGCTCTACCGAATTCGCAGCCAATTTCTCGGTCGTAGGATTTTAAATTTCTCCGTTGCAGATACCTAAATCCGAAATTTCAAAGTGTTCTAACCGGGGGGGTCCCAACCTAAAAGGGGATTATGGAGGATGAGGTCGGGGGTGGGGTCACAAGGCTATTCTATGGGGAGGTGCGGTGTTGCCACCCTTTCTTCTGCCCTGAGGCTGCTGGTGGAGCTGCCTTCAGAGCTGGGTGGCCAGAGACCAGCGGCTGCTGGCTGGGTGTCCAGCCACAAGCAGCGGAGCAGAAGTAAGAGGGGCGTGATATGGGTGGGGTCCTCACTTTTGGAGAGGTCAGGGCCAGCCTTAAGTGGGGGGGCAACATGAACAATCACCCACGGTGCCGTGGTTGGGGGGTGGGAGTTTCCATGGTAACTTCCTCCTGTACACAGCCAGCCCAAGGCCTCTTTAAGCCCTGAGTGCTATGGGGCCTGGATCCTGGGAGGGGCAGGGCTGGAGGCACCCTGACCGCGAGTGCCTTCTACATATTGAGCTGCAACCGCTGGTCCTGGCTGGGCTGTTGAGGGATGGGTCTTCCTCTTCCCCTGCAGGGGCTGCTCCCGGGGCTGGGTCAGACCCACCTCCAAGACCCTCCCGCGGCTGCCGGAAGCTCTGCTGAAATAATGGCATTCTGTTGCCACCTTCCCTTCTGTGCTGCTGCTGGCTGCCTTCGGCGCTGGGTGGCCAGCAGAAGTCCAGTTGGAAATACTGCACGACACCCCCTACAATAGGCTTGCAACCCCCCCGCGACACACACACACACACACACAATCCCCTTTTGGTTGGGACTCCCAGTTTGAGAAACACTGGTTTCCTCTCTGAACTCTGAATAGTATAGGGTAAAAATACACAAACCCACATCAATGGAATACCCGACAGAGACAAGGGAATAATTCTCACCTGGCCATGGGAGGATCTCTGCTTGGCTGAGTGAAGCATGCATGGACTTGTTATATTTTTGGGAGCAGGAAGAACTGGGCTTGCAGATACAGAGAGCCCTACCGGAGCAAAGACAAATGGACAGGCACAGTGAAAGGAAACCAAACTGTTTTCTACAGCAGCATGGCTCAAGGGCATTGGCCAGCATGGACTGTATTGTATTCTTCGCTTCTCTGTCCTAATCTAAGGACTTTCCAATGCTGTGTTTTGGTTGACTATTAAACCCCGCTATGGTTTGAAAATCTGCCCAGTGTCACAGCAGAAACTTGCTGAGGTGCATTGCCAGCAAGTCTCAACAGCAGCCAGTCCCCAGCCTCTGCCCTGTGCCCTGGGGAGGAGTCATTTCTCTCCAGGTAGAAATACAGGGAGGGGATGTGACCCTGTGTGCCCTGCCCACACATCATCTGTGCACCCAGCCTCTGCCCTGCATGCTGGGGACGAGTCAGGTGTCTCCAGGTAGAAATCAGGGGAGGGGGCGTGACCTTGTGTGCCCACCCACCCTCTAACCAACAATTCTGGTTATGAAACATGATTCCAGAAAGGAAGAGTCATTTTGGGGGGGAAATGCAGTAATAGTGGCAACTTCCAGAAAGCACTGGGGTCCGTCTCAAGATCTGTGCTGCGCTCATCCGATCTGTCCCTCTGCCTTCATGGAGTTCGCTCTGCTGGTGGGTTCTACCCCTTCCCCCATTCTGTGTCTGTCGTGTCTGTTTAGATTGTAAATTCTTCCAGGAATAGGCCATCTACTATTCTCTGTTTGTACTTTGCCTAGAACAATGGGGACCCACTGTTAGTTGGCCCTTAGGCACTAAGGTAATGAATATGATTTATAATAATAATAATAATACTCTCCTGCTACTTTGAGCCAAGGAAGCTGGCCTTGGGATGTTACTGCTTAAAAATGAGCTGGGGTTAAAACCATGGAATGATCTTTGTGACAAGTATCCCACAAATTCCACTGACCTCCCTTGTTTTCTTTCCCTGGAGTAGGGTTTCCATTTTCCAAACCTGATGTGATCTCGCAGCTGGAACGAGGGGAAGAGCCGTGGGTCCCAGACCTTCAGGGCTCTGAGAAAGAAGTGCTCCCGAGAGCTGCCTGCGCAGGTGAGGAATTGGTGAAACCAACTCAAAAACTGTTTGGGAATGCAGGAAACATTTGGGATGCCCTACAGAGACCCTGTGAGCTCTCCAAGTTCAGGATTGTTCCCTGCAGATGTGGAATCATTGTGGCAGAGGTCAGTCATGGCTTCCCAGCTATTCTGACTGACAACTGGCAGAAGGTCCCTCCCTGATCTCACTTTCCCCTGAGTGTTCTGGTGAGATGCAGACCCAGAACTGATCCCTTCCTCTCTCCTTCAGTGAAGGGTTTTGGGAAAATCAGCTCCTGATAGATTTGACCTCTCCAGCTTATATTTTTGTTTGTTTCACAATTGTTTCACATTCTCTGAGATTTCCTTTCTCTCCGGTACAGGGAGTGACCTATGTCTGGATTCTCTCTGTCTCCCATCAGGTGATGGGATGGTGAGTGAGAATGAGGAGGAGACACCCCAGCAGGAAGATGCTGAGCAAGTAGAACCCCATGGGATGTTATCAGGAAGATCCAAAGGGAATGTTTCCGGGAGTTGTGCATTTCCAGAAAAATCAAAAGCCTGTGAGACTCAGCAGAGGCCAGAGGAAAACTTGAGTAGCCACTCAGCCCTTATTACAGGTGAGAGAATCAACTTGGAAGAGACACGCTACGCATGCCATGAGAGTGGGAAAAGCTTTAATGTCAGCTCGGGCCTATTCACACATCAGAGAATGCACAGAGACGAGAGACCTTACACGTGCTCTGAGTGTGGGAAACGCTTTAGTCAGAGCTCCGCCCTTATCACACATTGGAGAATCCACACGGGAGAGACGCCCTTCACCTGCTCGGAGTGCGGGAAAAGCTTCAATCAGAGCTCGCACCTTATCACGCACAGGAGAATCCACACAGGAGAGACGCCCTACAGATGCTCGGAGTGCGGGAAACGCTTCAGTCAGAGCTCTGCCCTGATCACACATCAGCGAATCCACACGGGAGAGACGCCCTACACCTGCTCGGAGTGCGGGAAAAGCTTCAATCGGAGCTCAGCCCTTATTAGACATCGGAGAATCCATACGGGAGAGACGCCTTACTCCTGCTCTGAGTGCGGGAAGAGCTTTGGTCATAGGTCAGCCCTTATCACACATCAGAGAACCCACACCGGAGAGACGCCTTACACATGCTCTGAGTGTGGGAAAAGCTTCAGTCAGAGTGCGAACCTTATTAGGCATCGACGAATCCACACGGGGGAGACTCCGTACACGTGCCCGGAGTGCGGGAAAAGCTTCAATCAGCGCTCAGCCCTTACCACACATCAGCGAATCCACACGGGCGAGACGCCCTACACCTGCCCTGAGTGCGGGAAACGCTTCAGTTACAGCTCAGCCCTCATCACACACCAGCGAATCCACACGGGCGAGACGCCCTACACGTGCCCTGAGTGCGGGAAACGCTTCAATCGGAGCTCGAACCTTATCACACATCAGCGAATCCACACCGGCATGCCATCCTACAGGTGCTCTGAGTGCGGGAGGCGCTTCAGCCATAGCTCAGCTCTTATTAGACACCGGAGAATCCACACCGGCGAGACGCCCTACACCTGCTCGGAGTGCGGCAAAAGCTTCAATCAGAGCTCAAACCTGAGCACACACTGGCGAATCCACACCGGAGAGACGCCTTACACGTGCCCTGAGTGCGGGAAACGCTTCAGTCACAGCTCAGCCCTGATCACACATCAGCGAATCCACACGGGAGAGACGCCCTACACGTGCCCTGAGTGCGGGAAACGCTTCAGTCAGGGCTCAGCCCTTACGAGACATCAGAAAAGCCACATGACACGGTACTATAACAAATGCCTCGACTAGGGCTGGCCAAAGGTGGTTTTTTTTTTTTCATATCCCATTTGCTAGTTCCCACTTACTGATCTGTGCACCATCTTCACCATGGTCTCGCAGCTCCCCCAGATGAGTTGCCTGCTTCTGCCTTGTGCAGCTCACCCTTCTTTGGGGTCAGTCCTGTGATCTTTCCTATCAACTGCTTTCCTTTTGAGTCGTAGGAGTGTGTGTCCCTCCAGCCAGGAATGTTCATCAGCTCCAGGTGGGAGAGAGAGGTTTGATCCTAAGAAGCTACACTGAGGCAACAAAGTACCCGTGCCTCACATCCACTAGGGCTGTACATGGCATTGGCTGCTCAAGTGAGTGATCTTGGTGTGAAAAGACAATTATAGTGGTAGAGCAGAGGCAGCCCAGGTGCAGTGTTTGGCATTAGCTTTCCCCTTGACCTGACCTAAACTCCATCACTTTTCCTAGTCTAAACAAACCCTGAGCATCACGGTTATACAGTTCCCCCATTTCAAAGCAATTGTTAGTCATTTATTTCTCCCTTTGGGGGCAAATTGTCTCCTTCCCAGTTGCTCTGATGTTGCTTCGGGTTGCGTTGGAGAGCAGATATCTTTACTACCATTTTCCTCGTTTGAAATATATTGAACTATAACAAAGAGCAGGAACAGAGCTAGGGGAAAATGTCATTTACCCTCTGAATCAGAGGGATTTCCTGCTTCCCCCTCACCATCACTGTGCTCCCTCAGCCCAGTAGCTTTAGCTTCTGTGTCAACCACAATAGAGTTTATCCTCCCCATACGCTATCCCCCCACGTCCCATGCCACATGATGCAGTGTTCCCTGTGCTCTGTGCTAGGAACCACACTTTGAGTCTCAATCAGTCTTCTTGGGGCTGGGGATTCAAGTGTCACAGAGCTGGAGGGGAAATCTGAGTGGATCCCAAACACAGGGTATTCATTCCATCCCTGTTTCTATCTATTTGCAAAGCTGCTTCTGAACTTTTCCCTGCTGATCTGGAAGTTTTGTTTGGCTGTTTTTGACCTGTTAGGGTGATGGGAAATGTCTTGTAAATAACATGACTTAATAATAATAATAAGGTGATGTTGCATGAAGAAGATTTGAATACATCAGAGGAAAATGCAGTGCACGATTCTGTTCTTATTTTGAGTCATCAGATGTAACCTGCTCTGGAATGTGATTTTATATGAAACTGAAAGTGTCTTAATTACTCCTGGAGGAATTCTGCACCACTGTACACGTGCAGACAGAATTCCCACAGGCATATCTTACTCTCCTCAATGTTGCAGGTTTCTCTCTCTTTCCTGAATGCCATTTGGTTACATAATTGCATATTCATTCTATTTGGAAGCCTGTTACTCAGATTTGCTTGGGACTTTGAGACAAGAGACCATTTGCTAAAACAGTCATTTCTTCTTATGTTTTTTTCTTTCCCTCACCCCGCCAGGGTGCCCTGGGGGAAGCTCAAGTGCAGTTAGGTCGTCAGGAGTGAATGCTGCACTCTGTTGGACATGCTACCAAGGAGACAATAGCACTTCTAATTTCCATTCTGAAATGGTGAAGACCAGCAAATCACAAATTGTGGAAATAACTGCATGCAATCACACTGTTGTTCAGTTGGTTAAGTCAATGCTTTGTCTAAAGGGCTGGGAAGAGGATTCCCTAGTAAGTGACTTGTAACTAAGCAAAACACCCAGGCATTTGGCTCCCAAAGCAGTGGTGGCCCACACCCTGCAAGAGGCTGCTCCTGAAGATCTCTCCTTCTTAATCAGGTGAATTTTGCCTGTTATTTTGGAAATGCAATCTGTGTCTAGGTAGAAAGAGATAAAATGGATGATATTTCAGTTGAGTTCACCATGGGATATAAGGCAAATGTATAGAAAATCAAATCCATGTTGAATGTGATAGAGCTGCAGAAAGGTACCTATTTTTAATAGATACCTGACATTTGGTGTCTTACAGGGATTCTGAGCCACACCTGTATCTGTTCCCTAACTTAAATGTGTGCCATCAGATTAAAGAAAGAAATGGGCATATATGTGGGAGTTATACCTCACTATTTCAACTTTACATGCAGTGTTGATCACAGTGAGCACAGTTTTGAAGTCAAAACAGGAGTATGTCAGGGGTGTGTCATATCTGCAATCCTCTTCAACATTGCCATCGACTGGGTAATGTGATGTACAACAGAAGACATGCCAAAAGGCATTAACCTTCTCATCCCTTGAAGACCTGGACTTCGCAGATCATCTTGTTCGCCTATCACATACCCAACACTGTATACAGGAAAAAACAATGTGGCTCAATGCATTCAGCCAGGAAATTGGACTGAAAATCAACCACAATAAGATGGATATCATGACCTTTAATATTGCCTCACCATCACCAGTACAGATAGAGGATCATGTTCTCCCCAATGTAGAAACATTCACATACTTGGGCAGCACCATCAGTCAGGACCATGGCGCAAGCCAGGACATCCGGAACAAAATCACGAAAGCCAGGAACACATTCAGGAGCTTAAATACAGTCTGGAAATTATCAAAATACAACACCAAAACCAAACTCCATATCTGTCAGAGCTGTGTACTTTCAACCTTACTTTATAGTGCAGAATGCAGGGGAATGAGAAAGTATGACATGTCCAAACTGTCTTCATTCCAAACAACCTGGCTCAGAAAAATCCTCCATATCTTTTGTCCTTGAACAATCTCAAACCAAGATCTATTGACACAGTGCAGCCAAGAGGATCTGAGCACCATCATTCCCAGGAGGCGTTGGAGATAGATTGGCCATGTGCTTTGGAAGGAAACTGATTCCATCACCAGAATAGCAATAAGATGGACACCTGATGCAAGCAAGAATGAGGCTGCCCAAAAACAACATAGCGAAGAGCTGTGGAAGTTGAGCTGAAAAACCTGGGGCACAGCTGGGGAACTATTGAAAGACTTACCAGAAACAGAGAGGAGTGGAGGAGCTTCCTTTGGAGCCATTCCATGCCCATGGGTCCCAATCTGGCTGCCTTGTTGGACAAGAAGCACTTCCATGCTGGGCAAATGATGGTAGCCAATGAGGGAATGTATCAGATTCCAAGGTCAGACTTTGCCCGATACATGAATCCTAAGTCCAGAATCTGTGGTTTGGCCTCTTAGTTTTCTATTAAGTCTAATGCAATTGTATCATTTCTCCTCCTGCTGCTACTTCGAAAGATTAGAAAGTGTGAAAATAGAGCACAGGTGGTTTTTCGTCATGATGCAGCCTTCCCACGTAGTGTGAGACCCCCTTCCACCCACACTTACGGGAGAAGACCCAGGGAGAAATGAACTCTCAGAAGTGGAAGGCTCCTAGCTTATGGTAGAATGTGACTTCACACAAAGCTCACTGGGTGGAAATGGGAATCAAGAGAAAACTGTCCTATAGGTTTATATTTTGTAATCGTTGAGTAAGTTGTTACCAGCAACAATGAAATTAAACATGAAGTTAATTAGTGTAAAGTAAGAGGCAGATTATGTGATAACCTGAATTATATTGTAACCCTCAAAGTTTCCTTCTTGTTCTCTCCCTGTCCCCTCCTACTACATTGGAAATAGTGGCTAATCCTGAAATTAAAACCTCGCTCCAAAGGAATTAGAGCGGGGGAATATGTGAGAGAAATAGCATGTACAAGAATAGAGACCCAATATAGACTGTAATTATTTATTTTTCAAATGGAATTTATTTTGATAAGCTTTAAAATAAATCTGTTGAGAGGAAAATTACTTGAGACAAGATGTATAACTTTTTACTCCATTGATATAATAGCCACAGAGTTCCCCAGGTCTCCGGTTTGAAAACAAAGATGTCCCATTGGGCAGATGTCAGAATTTAAAATGGTGATGGATGCATGATGATAGCTTTTTGTGGTTGGTTGGTTTGGTTTGTTTTTTTAATTTTGTTTTTGTTCTGTTTTTGCAACCAGTTATTTTTATGGGTGCTGAGGAGGCCAGCTGTTAGAGCACAGCTGTTTATCCCTCAGGCCTGGCTCTGGAAACCTCCCCAGAACGGGTCTTGTGTTTCTTTCATGTTTGATATAGTTGGGGTTCGCATGTGCACACTTCATGCGGTTCACAACAATGGATACTTGGAGAAACCTGCTGGGTGAAGCAGGCCTTTTCCAAACTGACATTGGCCCAAAGCCTGCCTCACCTCAGCTGGATTGGGACACGTCTGTATCGAAGGAGGGATTCACACCTGATTTGCCCAGAGACCTCGGGGGAAGTGTGGTAAGGTGGGATAAGCTGGAATCGACAATTCTAAAGTTTAAAGGTAAGGGTGGAAGTTCATCACCTTTCAGCTCATTCCCTCTGAAGCATCTGGCACTGGTCACTGTCAGGCAGCACACTGGGCTAGATGGACCATTGGTCTGACACAGCATAGCCAGTCTTACATTCTTATATTATGTAAGCCACCAAAGAGAGACTAGGATCCCAGGACTGATCCCTTCTGAGGAATGAAGCATGTCGACAGGCTTTCACTAATCTCCCTGTACCTGAAAAAGCCTGCTAGCCCAAAGTGCTGGACTATCTATGTCATAATTGGTATGACTAGAGGTGGCTAGGGTAGCCCACACTGAAAATCCCACCGTTAGGGCAGGATGCAAAAGGAGAGCAGATTCTCCCAGAACTGGCCGTTAAAACTGTACTTAGATTCACCAAACAGTCACAAACTGATCCCCCACACTGGCTATCAAGAAGCTTAAAGAAAAAAAAAGAAAACCACTCCCTTTATTGCACTCCAGTTTTCTGGCTCCCAATCAGCACCTAGGTCCAGTAGAGTGAGAAGTTATTTAAAAACTCTGCTCACTATACAAAATGTTCTTCTGATTCCCAAAGGGCCAATCACATTACCAGCTCAGTACCCAAAATACCGTGCTGCTAGCCAATCCTTTAGTATCTAAAATTAAAGGTTTATTAGAAAAGGAAAAGGAGTTTTTAATTGGTCAAAGCAGTCAAATTCATACATATCACTTCAGAATCCATATATCAAGTTCTTAGCAGCATTGGTGAGTTTGCTGGCTTGTAGAGTCCTTCTGGAACACATCCACAGCTTGGATGGGTTTTTCAGTCCTTTGTTCAGAGCTTCAGGCTGTAGATAAGTTGCTCCAGAGGTAAGAAGCAGGATTGAGACAAAATGGAGAAGACATAGCTGCCTTTTATACCCTTTGCCATGTGGCTTGTACATTGTGTGTCCCACACGTAAGCTCACAGTACATGGGCAAGGAAAAGCACTTGGAGTCCCTTGTCCACAGATATGGCCCTACGTGTCCTGCTGCCTCATAGGTGTAACCCCTGCCTTCTCTCAATGGGCTCTTTGTCTTTGATGGGCCATTCAGCAGGCTAGTTAGTGCTGATGCCCATCTGTCGGGGTTGTCACCCAGAAACAGCAGAAGTTTGATCTACAGATATGCCACACATATTTATAACTCACAATACAAAGATGATACATACATATGTGAGGGAAAATTAACAGGACATAAAACTCAGGTCAAGGCCCTGACTTTGGTCAAACTTGCCTGCAGGCCGTAAACTGAGACCCTGTTTGCTTATGTGGGTTAAGAGGTAGGAGAAGTCACAGTGGAAAGTCCCCAAAATGGAACAATAGTTTTCTGTGCAGAAAGGGCATGAAGGGGCAGGATGGAGAAGTCCCCAGACAGAACAAATTTGCAATAGTCAAGCTTATGAAATATATAACCGCAACAGTTGTGTTAGAAAGGTCGCAGACTGCAAAAGAACAGACAGTGAATAACAGGAAGGGCCTAGTGGGGGACGCTTGTTGTTGCTTTTGACCAGTGTTAATTTTGCAATGTATTCTAAATAAGGTAATTAATAGGGAAGTATGTGTAATTTGTCTGTGGTTTTGAGCTTTAAAAAGCTGTGTGTGCTTTGCATTGGGGGGCAGCTACTCAGAGCTGTTACCCCCCTGCACTTGTAATCAATAAAGGAGCCTCAGGCTTGTTCTGATCCAAACACAACACGTGGTTAATTTTCCACCACATATATAAACATTATTATCATATTTAGCCAATTATAAGTTTCCCACCAATACTTCACACGGTGTATCTTGTAAGATTTATTGCAAGTTTGGAATATTGGTATCAATGTGATACATAGTAACTCATATTCCATATAGTGGCACACCTGGTTCCTTAACTGCAGCTAAAGGTCCTGCTCCATGTGAACCCAAAGGCTGAGAGCTGCAGAGATCCAACCCCTTGTAATCTTAGAAACTTACTGTTCTTTTTTGTTCATTTTTTATTAACTTGGAGACCTCCCAGCCTTTCTATTAGATTGGCTCAGTGGGTGAGGAACGGTAGGGTAGCGAGTGTGTGAACACTTCTGAAAGCCACACACGGACGATGCAAGGAAGAATCGTTCCTCAAAACGTAATAGCCTTCAAACTCGGCCCTATGAACTCACTGAATCCATGCTCCTCACCCATGGCAGCTTTCCAAGGAATTGGAAATTGTTCACTGAGAGCTGTTTGAACTGCTCTTCCTAAGTCTCAATAAGGTCCGTGTCTGTGTTGGAGGGCGAGGGCGAGGAGACATTAGCCACACAATGTTCCCTCTAATCTTTTCCATCCACGTGTGGAATGAATTTTTTTTATGTGCAGCACCAAGATTGAGGTAATGTGAGGATGTGCCCTAACCCTAACCCCTAACCACAACCACCACCCACCGGACAAAAAAATCTATGACAGGTTTCAGAGGAGCAGCCGTGTTAGTCTGTATCCGCAAAAGGAAAAGGAGGACTTGGGGCACCTTAGAGACTAACCAATTTATTTGAGCATGAGCTTTCGTGAGCTGCAGCTCACTTCACTGGATGCATGCAGTGGAAAATACAGTGGGGAGATTTATATACACAGAGAACATGAAACAAGGGGTGTTACCGTACACACTGTAACGAGAGTGATCAGGTAAGGTGAGCGATTACCAGCAGGAGAGAGAAAGAGAGAAAAAAAGACGAGGAGTGGATGTGTCATTACACAAAGTAAAACTATTTCCCCGTGTTTATTTTTTCCCCTACCGTTCCTCACACGTTCTTGTCAACTGCTGGAAATGGCCCATCTTGATTATCACTACAAAAGGGTTTTTTTTTTCATCTCCTGCTGGTAATAGCTCACCTTAACTGATCACTCTCGTTATAGGTTCTTGGATTTGCCTGGCAGCCAGGAGGAGTGCGTAGCCTAAAGAAAAGGCTCCCAAGAAATGTATTGAACTGCTTCGGGTGGAACTGGATTAGAAGTTGGAGTGCTGGATGCTACTAACATAGAGGTACTGGCAAACAAAGGAAGTTAAGTTCATGAAGTAAATCATAAGCCTTATGAGAATATATGTTTCTTCATTTTATAGCAATTGGGGGATGTGATTTTGAATGTTATGTACCCAAATTTAAATATAGTCAGTTAAAAGTGTCTTATTGTAACACCTGTGCCCCTTGGAATGGATTTAACTGCTTTACAAACGTTGCTTCTACATCCTGATTTAAAGAACCAGCTCGATACTGCAAAACAGGAAGGGCGCAGAGTCATGGTTACCACGCATCATAATGTCAATGAAATTAAACGGGCATTTGCAAGACTTGGCCAAGATCTGTCACACCACTGGTGGGAAGTGTTATTGAGATGGTCCCCCACTGGCACAGGCATCCTGAATTTGGCCCTGCACCCCATCATAGTAATCTTGGGCTGCCAAATAGTAATGGTTTTTGTTACCAGCCTGATGACATGCTGGACCTGGCATAAAATCTGGCAATTGCAAGTCCCCTGACAGATGAGTCAGTGGTTACTGCCATCAGCACTTGTACCCCTGGGAAAGGAACATATCCTACTTGTCGCCCCTCCTTGAAATGGGAAAGGAGGCTGAAGCAATCGCTTGTCAATTGCTATGCAGGTGTGCTAAGTATGGGATGCCGACAAAAAGATCATTTGCTCAGTCTAGGCTGAGAGCCTTGAGCTTTCGTTGGATCTCAGCTCAGGTGCATCCAGAAAAGGTGTGACAGGTGACCTTTAAGGAGGGGAACTATATGGGGAGATTTTGGCAAACCAGTAAAGTGCCTGAAACCACTACTGCTTAATGCTAAAAGCAGCAAAGTCAGCAGGCCATAAATTGGCCATGCAGCAGCCTCAGCTTAACCAAGGCAGGAGGGGAGGAGGTTTTGGGTGCCAAAGAAAGGGCAGCTTGACCCCACATCCTTCCTGATAAGAATTGTGTTCAAGTTGCTGATACATGCATTTTAGGGGCCTCAAGGCTGAAAACTATGGGGGGAAAAACACGCCTGGTTAATCAATAATCATAAGGAAACCTCTTGCTTGACCGCTGAAACTGCTTGCTTATAATTGTATTACTAATATATAAATAAGGGGGGGGGAAAAGTTTGAGGGCTGATCTCTATCTCCCTCTGGATGCATCTTGTGTTCCCCACCAGCAGACGGGCTGCTGCTGGGCCACTCGAGAGCCACACTCGGCTTCAGTAATTATTCAGGGTTGGGGTGTTTTACGAACCTGTTGCGGAAATGTAAGTGCTTGAGACTAAGTAAAGTTTAGCGTTAAGTGAAAGCACTCTTGTGTTGTCCTGGTTGTGCTAGCCATCTATCGGTCGGATGGCCGTGTATCCCCTGATTTATTCCCTGATACCACCTCGGACAGAGTAAAAGTTACCAAGAGATTTGGGTTGAAAGAACCCTGGGTAACAGCTTGTGTAAGGGGATTGTTGGCCCC